GTCTGCTTTGATCTGAGCATTCTTACGCGTGCAAGGAGCTCTACGAGGTTCCTGGCGTTGAGCAGGTTGACGGTTTACCGCCGGCGCCAGTTAGAAGCTGGACGGTGGTGGTGCCCGTCAGGAGCTCCCCCACGGCGGTCCACAGGCCTCGCAGAAACTCCGGCGACCCGGCAGCTGATTCGGGGGCGCTGTCCACGTGTGGATGCACGCGTGCAGGCACGTGTGGTAGCGTGGCAGCGCTTCGACAGCGCTCGAGGGAAGCTTCCCAGCGCTCTCGAGGAAAGATTTCCTCCTCCCGACGGTCTCTTCGCTCTCTGGGTTTCAGACGCTGCTACAGGGCTCATACGTACAGAATATGATTCCAAATCATCAGACGCCGTTGTCTGTTGAATCCAGATCTCTGAACTCGATCTGCTGCCCGATCTAGAATCGCGAAACTATTCGTATTGTTCGAGTCATCTTGAGAGATGCTGTCGGTTTCCTGCACTTAACTCGGGCTGTAGGGGGGCTGCAGAGCTGGTAATCACAGGAATTGATTCAGAGACATGAGACGCGCCCGCCTGTCGCATGCAGAGATCTGAACTCGGTCTGATACTCGAGCTAGGTTTGCCAAACTATTTGTATTGTTCGAGTCATCTTGAGAGGTGCTGTCAATTTACGCGCCAAGCTCGGGCTGTAGGAGAGCTACAGAGGTCCGTGCAGAAGAGAATTCAGAAGCATTGGGGGCGTTTGGCTGTTGCATCCGAGAGGTCTGAAATTGCTTGGGCCCAAAAACTATTTTTCTATGATTTTTTCTGACATTATATGTTGTCAGAAAGCTCTACGAGTCCCCCGGTGGTAACAAAGGTCACGATTTACCGCCGGCGCCCAGTTCCGGCGCGCTGGAGAGCTAGTTGGCAAGAAAAATCTCGACGGACCTTTTGGTGACTTTTGGTCGGTTGAAAATTTACTTCTCAAAATCCCTCAATTCGTTTGAGCTCTAGCAATTTCTTTCCGTGATATTCGATCTTATTCCCGCTCGCCATCTTAATCTCAACTCGATCGGGTACCTTTTACTGCCAAAAAGCACACTGGCGGGATCGGCTGTTTCAAGTTATCTTGACACGCGATGACGGTTTTCTGAACATAACTCGATCTTTAGGACAGCCACAGAGCTAGGAAGCACAGCCAATCGATTCTGAATGATGAGGCGCGTTCGCCTGTTGAATCAAGTGGTCTGAACTCGGTCTGCTAGCCGAGTTCCGCAAACCTATTCGTATTATTCGAGTCATCTCGACAGACGTTCTCGGTTTTCTGTACTTAACTCGAGCTATAAACAGCTACAGAGCTGATACTTACAGGAACTGATGCAGAACCATCAGTCGCATTTGCCTGTTGATCCCAGAGCTCTCAACTCGGTCTGCTGCCCATTGGTCGAGTCATCTTGAGAAGTGCTCTCGGTTTTCTGCACTCAACTCGGCCTGAGGGCTACAGTGCTGGTGGTCACAGGAATCGATTTGAAGACATCAGGCGCGTCCACCTGTCGAATCCAGAGCTCGGAACTCGGTCTGCTGCCCAAACTAGGTCCGCGAAACTATTCTATTGCTCGAGGCATCGAGTCATCCTGAGAGGTGCTGTCGGTTCCTGCACTTCACTCGGGCTGATTGGTAATCACAGGAGTCGATTCGCACCACAGAGCTCGTAAAGAAGACAATCCAGAAACATCGGGGGCGCTCGGCTGTTGCTTCGAGAGGCCTGAAATTTCGTGGGCTAGAAAACTATTCGTTCTCTGCAATTTTTGTTCCACATTATTTCTTTTCAGGAAGCTGTCTCCGGCGGTAAGAAAGGTTGACGGTTTACCGCCGGCGCCCAGTTCCGGCGCGGGGTGGAGCTAGTTGGCCCACCCGGCCGGGGCGGACAATGTGGCAACTTTTGGGTGGTATTTGAAAGATATTTGACCGTTTATCTTGAGAAAGCAGATTTTTCGCACCTGTGGACGACTATGAGGGCCTCTGCGTCTTAATATGAGCTCTCTAGATGCACTTTTACTATCGAAAGACTTGGCGAAACCAACTTCATGTCGACCTGAAAAAATCATGTTTTCTCTTTCTCGAGAAATGCTTCCAGAAGCCTCCCTTTTGATGCTGAACACTCTTACGCGTGCAAGGAGCTCTACGAGATTCCCGGCGGTGTTGACGGTTCACCGCCGGCGCCAGTTGGCAAGAAAAATCTCGACGGACCTTTCGGTGACCTTTGGTCGGTTGAAAATTTACTTCTCAAAATTCCTCAATTCGTTTGAGCTCTAGTATTTTTTCCCGTGATATTCGATCTTATTCCCGCCCGCCGTCTTAATCTCAGCTCGATCGGGTACCTTTTACTGCCAAAAAGCACACTGGCGGGATCGGCTGTTTCAAGTCATCTTGACACGCGATGACGGTTTTCTGAACATAACTCGATCTTTAGGACAGCTACAGAGCTAGTAAGCACAGCCAATCGATTCTGAATGATGAGGCGCGTTCGCCTGTTGAATCGAGAGGTCTGAACTCGGTCTGCTAGCCGAGCTAGGTCCGCAAACCTATTCGTATTATTCGAGTCACCTCGACAGACGCTCTCGGTTTTCTGTACTTAACTCGAGCTATAGGACAGCTACAGAGCTGATACTTACAGAAACTGATGCAGAACCATCAGTCGCATTTGCCTGTTGACCCCAGAGCTCTCAACTCGGTCTGCTGCCCGATCTAGAATCGCGAAACTATTCGTATTGTTCGAGTCATCTTGAGAAGTGCTCTCGGTTTTCTGCACTCAACTCGGGCTGAGGGGGGCTACAGTGCTGGTGGTCACAGGAATCGATTTGAAGACATCAGGCGCGTCCACCTGTCGAATCCAGAGTTCGGAACTCGGTCTGCTGCCCGAACTAGGTCCGCGAAACTATTCTATTGCTTGAGTCATCGAGTCATCCTGAGAGGTGCTGTCGGTTTCCTGCACTTAACTCGGGCTGATTGGTAATCACAGGAGTCGATTCGCACTACAGAGCTCGTAAAGAAGACAATCCAGAAGCATCGGGGGCGCTCGGCTGTTGCATCGAGAGGTCTGAAATTTCGTGGGCTGGAAAACTATTCGTTCTCTGCAATTTTTGTTCCACATTATTTCTTCTCAGGAAGCTGTCCCGGGCGGTGAGAAAGGTTGACGGTTTACCGCCAGCGCCCAGTTCCAGCGCGGGGTGGAGCTAGTTGGCCCACCCGGCCGGGGCGGACAATGTGGCAACTTTTGGGTGGTATTTGAAAGATATTTGACCATTATCTTGAGAAAGCAGATTTTTCGCACCTGTGGACGACTATGAGGGCCTCTGCGTCTTAATATGAGCTCTCTAGATTCACTTTTACTATGCTTGGCGAAACCAACTTTATGTCGACTTGAAAAAAATCTTGTTTTCTCTTTCTCGAGAAATGCTTCCAGAAGCCTCTCTTTTGATGCTGAGTACTCTTACGCGTGCAAGGAGCTCTACGAGGTTCCCGGCGGTGACCAGGTTGACGGTTTACCGCCGGCGCCAGTTGGCAAGAAAAATATCGACGGACCTTTTGCTGACTTTTGCTCGGTTACAAATATCTCGTAGACCTCTTCGTCATCGATGAGCTAGAGGAATTCCGGCGCGGGATGGAGCTAGTTGGTCGACCCGGTCAGAAACGACAAAGTGGTAACTTTTGGGTGGTGTTGCAATTGTTTGAAAGATATTTGATAATTCATTTTGAGAAAGCAGATTTTTCGCACCTGTGAACGACTACGAGGGCCTCCCTGTCTTAGTATATATAAGCTCTGTAGGCGCACTTTTACTATCAAAACAGGGAACCATCTTTATGTCGACGCGAAAAATCAATAGTTCGCTTTTTCGAGAAATGCTTCCAGAAGCTCTCTCTTTCGACTCTGAGTTCTCTTACGCGTGAAAGGAGCTCTACGTGGTTCCTGGCGGTGACCAGGTTGACGGTTCACCGCCGGCGCCAGTTTTGTTTTCGAAATTCAACCATTCGTGAGAGATCTATTATTCCCGCTCGCCTTCTGAATCATAGCTCGATCGGGTTAAATATTTCTGCAAAAAAGCATCGCAGCGGGATCGGCTGCTTCGAGTCATCTTGATACGCGTTGTCGGTATTTGTACTTAACTCGAGCTGTAGGGCAGAAAGCTCATTCTCACAGAAATCGATTGCGAATCATCAGGCGCGTTTGTCTGTTTCATCGAGAGGTCTGAACTCGGTCTACTGCCCGAGCTCGCGAAACTATTCGTGTTCTTGAAGTCATCTTGAGAGATGCTGAGAGTTTTCTGCACTTAACTCGGGCTGTAGGGGGGCTACAGGGCTCGTACTCACATGAATCGATTCGGAGACATCACGCGCGTCCGCCTGTCGAATCCAGAGCTCGGAACTCGGTGTGCTGCCCGAGCTAGATTCGCAAAGCTATTTGCATTTGTCGAGTCATCTTGAGAGGTGCTGTCCGTTTTCTGCACTTAACTCGAGCTGTAAGGGGGCTGCAGGGCTGGTGATCACTGGAATCGATTCGGAGACATCAGTCGCGTCCATCTGTCGCATTCAGAGCCCTGAACTCGGCCTGTTGCCCGAGCTAGGTCCGCGAAACTATTCGTATTGTTCGAGTCATCTTCAGAGGTGCTGTCGATTTTCTGCACTTAAGCCGGGCTGTAAGAGGGCTGCAGGGCTGGTAATCACAGGAATCGATTCGGAGACATCAGGCGCGTCCGCCTGTTGCATTCAGATGTCTGAATTCGGTCTGATACTCGAGCTAGATTCGCGAAACTATTTGTATTGTTCGAGTGATCTTGAGAGGTGCTGTCGATTTTCGCACGTAACTCAGGCTGTAGGAGAGCTACGGAGCTCGTGCGCACAGAAAACGATCCAGAAGCATGAGGGGCGTTTGGCTGTTGCATCGAGAGGTCTGAAATCGTCTAGGCTGAAAAACTATTCGTTCTCGGCAATTTTTTTCGACATTATATGCTCAGGAAGCTCTACGAGTCCCCCGGCTCAAGTCCCCCGGCTCAAGGCGCTTGACATTTGATCCCCTCTGCCTGGGTAACCTCCAGTGGGATCGAGTGCGCGTCAGGGAGTCACACGTTTGTCGCCTAGAGTGATATTGCACTGCCATTCATTTGACACGTTTGATCGCCTTGAGTGGTCTTCAATTGATTTGTTTCACACGTTTGTCGTCTAGAGTGATATTGCGCTGCCATTCATTTGACACGTTTGATCGCCTTGAGTTGTCTTCAATTGATTTGTTTTGCTGGGTGCTTCCGAGGCAGTCTCTGCAATCTTTCGTTATGCCACACGTGCGGAGTGCGAGTGCTCGCATTATGCGTCGGGCGCTGGCTGTTCAAAACGGATACTGTGTGCATTTACCTATTCGTTTGCCTCTGGATGGTTTGGTGCCACCTACGTGTCTCCCACCACCAGGGCTGGATCGGGCGACTGCCGATGTGGTTCTAGATTATCTCTTGTTGCGCGATCCACCTGTTGTTAAACGCAGTTTGGAGGAGGAGGAGGAGGAGGCTGACATTGAGACTGTTTCGGATAATCTTTCTTGCCGTATGCAGGCTTCTGAATCGCTGGTTGATGTAGATATTGGAGTGCAGGCTTCTGAATCACTGGTTGATGTTGGAGTGCAGACAGTTGATGTTGCGGACTTTCATTGTGAAGTCGGCTGTCAGACAGATAGTGTCGTTGGGATGGAGGGAGGAGCTTCAGGAGTTCTTCTTGGGAAAGTGACTGTGGCGGCGGAGGAGGAGCTGGAGGCACCCTCGAGTGCGGAGTCTTCTCCGAACGTGCAGTCTGATTCTGATAGCCGCGCCTTGTCAGGAGCGTCCCAGGGGTGTCTGAATCGTCCCGTCACGCTCAATGAGGTATCGAAGGAGTCGCGCCAGAGGACTCGAGGGAGAGATCGTGACAAGGTCAAGGGGACATCGACGTGCTCTCAGGCCACCATTGCCGATGTCAAAGCGTGGATTGACGCTGTTGCCAGCATCAACGAGTTGAATGCGATCCAGTATTTAAAGAACGGAATGGATTTGTTTGATAAGCTGGTGACAGAACGTGGGTTCCCTACAAAGAAGGCCCAAAAAGATTATGCTCGGAAGCTGTATGAGATGCTCCAGAATGTGCAAGCGACGCTGGAGGATCTTCTAGGATTTTTCGAGGTGCACAGGTTCTTGACAGGACAAATGAACAGCGCCCAGATGGCCAAGTTTCTTGAGGTTTCCAAGTGCAGCGATTACCGAATAATATTCTTCGGGCGCCCGAGGAGTTTCGACAAGTTGGGATGAAGCTATTCGTGCGCACTTGTATGCAACTTTCGGTTTAGAACAGCGAAGGCTGTAATGCTTGTATCTCACCTGTTCTTGTTTTCCTCACTTTATTTCTCTGTTTGACCTCTCGCTGGAGCCATGATGGCTCTACGGCCCGCTGTGGGCCCCACTAAGCGCTTCAGGTGTGTAAAGGGCAGGAGCCCCTCATATTCTTCAGGTGACGTTCTTCCACGGGTTGTTTCCCTGTCTAATTCGTTGTTTACTTCACATGTGACGTTGAGCATACGCCTCTTGTCATACGGCGGGTTGAACATGCGTATTTCGGACTGGTTTGATGTGAATAAGAGTTTGTGCTCACTCACGCCTTGCCTGTTTGGATGCGTCCGCTCCTTGCTCCGACTAGGCTGGAAAGTCTGCACAGTCGACCGCAAAGTCCGCAAAAAAGGAAGGTTGACGGTTTACCGCCGGCGCCCAGTTTCAAAGATATTTGAGAATTCATTTTGAGAAACGAGTTTTTCCGCACCTGTACACGACTATGAGGGCTTCTGCGTCTTAATATGAGCTCTGTAGGCGCCATCTTACGATCAACGCACCTGGAGCAACGAACTTCATGTCGACATGTTGAATCTTCCGAGAAATGCTTCCAGAAGCTCCTTCTTCCGACTCTGAGCTCTCTCGCGCGTGACAAGAGCTCTACGAGGTTCCCGGCGGTGACCAGGTTGACGGCTTACCGCCGGTGCCAGTGTCAATTCTCGGGGGACTCTGTCACGGCAATCAAGTGGCTGACAGGGATATTGTACACTCAGAACAAGAAATATCATAAATTATTATGCAAAACACATGATGACATGGAGGCATGGTGCAAGCAATATCCCATAAGGCCACCAGACTGGGGAGATAACCTTTGGCGTCGTATCTACCGCGAAGGAAATGAGGAGGCAGATGAACTGACGTGGAGGGCTCGCGAGAGTCCAACCAATTCTTACATGTACAGAAATACCACAGAACTGAAGAGAGAAACTTTAGCTGCTCTCAGGGGTCACTTTGACGGTGGGAGAAGCGTTTCTGGAAGTGTCGTGGCTATTGGCCTGATTGTAGATCGTACCACACATGCTTCAGAGTGGCGGGCCCTGCCAGAGACGGGCCAGTTTTTGGTGGACGATGCGACAGCGATGTAGTCCGAATGTATAGCGGCATTGCGGTTGTTCCAGACCACCCGAGAGATCACTACAAACATGTGCGGTGCAGGAGACGGGTTTATGGCTCCGAATTCATGAGTATTGCGGTTCATGGATCTTTGGATGTGTGTCATCTTGCATTATATACTCGCAGCTACGCTGAGTTGTTCTATCTCTGTTGTCCTCAAGTGCACATTTCATTGATCTGAGTTCTTGCTTCAGTCAACTTGTATGTTTCACTTTCGGCTTTAGCTTCGCTTGCACGTCCCCGTCCTGGAAGCATGTTGGTGTTTATCTTGGCTGTGTAGTGGTCGGGGTCCCGCTTGGAGGCCTCGGTGCAATGCCTCGTTTGGAGGCTCGAGCCTGTGTCTCGGTACTGTGCCTCGTTTGGAGGCGCGAGACGCTGCGCGGCGGGTGAGACATTCGCACAGTGAGCGCTACGCAAACGCAAAAAACCAAGGTCGACGATTTACCGACGGCTTCCAGTTCGGGCGGAGAGTGGAGCTAGTTGATCGACCCGGCCAGAACGAACAATGTCGTGACCTAGGGTCGTTTTTTTCGGAGATGTTGAGAGATTAATCCAGATTGTTGTTTCCTGCGGTCGATCATGGCGCGTTCGATGTTGCAATTCTCAGGACTAATAGGTGCACTATTGGGATCAAAATGTTTAGAACCGACGTTGAATAAACTTAAAATATCTTGCAGAGCTCTTCGACGAGATGAGCCAAGAGGGAGTAGGGTGAAGCTAGCTACAGAGCTGCTAGACACATCTTATTGATCTAGAAACGTTAGGCGTGTGAGTCTCGAGCAACACGATGTCTGAATTCGGTCTGCTACTAGAGCTAGGTCCGCGAAGCTATTTGTACTCTATTTCTTGTTGGAGATCATGATGAGTTTCTTTGCATCAGCTCGAGCTGCAGACGAGCTACAGAGCTGTTCGGCACAGCAATCGGAATGAAGTCATCAGACGCGCTACTTCAAAGTATCTAGACGCCTGAACTCGGTCCGCTATCTTCGCTGGGTCAGAAAAACTATTTCTACCTTGCTATTTTTTTAGATGTGGTGGTGGTTCTTGAATTATCTCGAGCTGCAGACAAGCTACAGAACGGCCCGGCACAGCAATCGAACGGGAATCGTCAGGCGCGCTAGTCTAAAGTATCTAGACGATGAACTCGGTCTGCTATCAGAGCTCTGTTCGAAAAAAACTATTCGTACTCTGCTAATTTGAGAGAGAATAATAACAAGCGCTAGTCTAAAGTATCTAGATGCCTAAGTTTGATCTGGCTGAGAAAAACCATTCGTACTCTGCTAAATTCAAGACTGATGATGGTAGCTTTCTTGACGTAGCTCGATCTGCAGAAGAGCGACCGAGCTGTTTTGTACAGAATTGCAAGGAATTCATCTTAAGCGCTTGTTTCAAGTTTCCAGATGCCCAACTCGTTACGCTTTCAGAGTTCGAACCATTTTTTTTGCAGGCTGTTGTAGCGTGGCCGTGGTAACGATGACCGTAGTGAGCCGTGGCGGTCATCGCCCGTGGTGGGCGTGCCTGGCCGTGGCGGCCATGCCCGTGATCGCCGTTGCCGGGTGGCCGTGGCCGTCGTAGTGGCCATGGCTGACTGGCCGTGGGCGTAGTGGCCGTGCCCGGTGGCCGTTACCGCAGTGGCCGTGGTGGCTGTTGCCGTGGGGGGCGTGGTGGCAGTTGGCGCGTGGTGGCCGTGCCCGTTGTGGTGGCCGTGGTCCGTAGCCATGGTAGTCGTGGCCGTCGTGGCTGTAGTGAACGTGGCCGTGGTGGCCGTGGCCGTGCTGACCGTGGCCGTGCTGGCTGTGGTGACCGTGGCCGTGGTGGCCGTGGCCGTGATGGCCGTCTCCGTGGTGGGCGTGGCCGTGGGGACCTGCCTTGATGGCCGTGGCCGGCTATTTGGGATCCAGATTGGTTTACCGCCGGCTCCCAGTTCGAAGATTGTCAGAGATTTGAAAGTTTGTTTTGAGAACCCAGATTTTCGTTTCCTGCAGTTGATCCGTGCGCGTTCGATGGTGCAATTCTCAGGAATATAGGTGCATTATTTCGACCAAAACATTTGGAGCAGCCGACGTTGTTCGTGTTGTCTTGACAGATGCTCTCGGTTTTCTGAACTGAACTCAAGCTGTAGGATAGCTACAGAGCTGTTAGGCACACCTGATCGATCCAGAATCGTCAGGCGCGTAAGTCTCAAGCATCTAGATGTCTGAACTCGGTCTTCTACCAGAGCTAGGTCCACGAAACTATTTGTACTCTTATATTTTTGGAGATGATCATGAATCTCTTGACTTAACTCGAGCTGGAGATCAGCTACAGAGCTGTTCGGCACAGCAAGCGGAAGAATCTGATCAGGCGCGCTAGTTCAAAGTATCTAGACGCCTGAACACGATCTGCTATCAGAGCTGGGTTAAACAACTATTCGTATTCTGCCATTTTTTTAGAGATGGTTATGCTTTCTGGACTTCACTCGAGCTGCAGGTCTAGTTGGAAATCAGCTACAGAGCTGTTTGTCACATGATTCGAAAGGAAATCGTAAGAAGCGCTAGTCTAAAGTATCTAGACGCCTGAATTCGGTCTGCTAGAGCTGCAGAGGAGCTACAGAGACGCTCCGCACAGAATGAGATGGAATTTATCAGACGGTGCTATCTTTAAGTATCCAGATGCCCGAACTCGTCGCGCTTTCAGAGTTGGAACCAGAAAACTATTCGTACTCTATTAATTTTCCCAGAGATGCTTTCTCCTCACTCCTTCTTCTCTTCCACGTCCTTGTCCATGAGACCGCGCCCTCGCGTGCGCAATGCGAGATTGCCGCGCCCGCATTGCGCGAGGAAGCTCTACGAGTTCCCGGCGGCTGGCCCGGGCGGACAATGTGACAACCTGGCGTCGTTTTTTTTTTTTTTTTTTTTTTTTTTTTTTTTTTTTTTTTTTTTTTTTTTTTTTTTTTTTTTTTTTTTTTTTTTTTTTTTTTTTTTTCCTCTCTCTCTCTCTCTCTCTCTCTTTTTTTTTTTTCTTATTCTTCTTCTTTCTTTCTTTCTTTATATTATTTAATAAAATAAAACAAGATGTTGAGAGATTTGAAAGTTCGTTTCGGAAATCCAGATTTTCATTATCTGCAACAGACCATGGCGCCTTCAATTGTGCAATTCTCAGCGCTGTAGGTGCAGTATTTCGATCAAAGCATTAGAAGGACCCAACTTTGAATCAAACCGAAAAACGTTTTTTTCTCGAGGTTTTCGCCGCGCGCTGGAGAAACTTTCTCCATGTGTTCCGAGCAGCGTCGCGCGTGACAAGAGCTCTACGAGGCTCCCGGCTCAAGAGCTCTACGAGGGTCCCGGCGGTGACCAGGTTGCGGATTGCAGCGGTCTGGTTGCAGCGGGCTGGGATGAGGAGCTCGGTGTAAACTCCGTTTCCTGTATAGAGTCACTTCCGCGGGGATGTGGTGGACGGTGGAGGAGTTGCTGCAAAAATCGGGTCACGGTGTGGCATGCATTGCAGTGCAGCGAGGTCTGGGATGGTGCTTTCCACGATGAAGAGCTCATGAATGATTCTCTTGAGTCGGTCGTTTCTCGTCTAAGACGTGATGGGCCAAGGATCTGAGAAAACATTCAACAAAATTAAATGCGCTAACTGGTCTCATAAGAGGATTGGGGCAGCTCCTATCGGGGCAGGTGCATAGGCCACTTGCTTTGATTGTACTCGCTGATTTTCACTTTGTTCCACTTTCTTACCTGCATTCTGACCTTGAATCTCTTGTACATTCTCAGTGGTGTTGAGACGGTAATCGCTGTATAAACCAGTGGTTACTGTATGGTCTCTCACTGCTTCTATTCCTCTTTACATTTTTAGTTGTTTTCGCGTATACTTGCAGTCTTGTGCATATCTGTACAGCTTCGCTGTTGGTGCACCTCTGCTTTAATCTTTGCAGCTTCGCTGCTTAGGTTCTTTGTGTTTAGGCCTGCTCCCATGGGAGCTCGAACCGGCCTTCGCAAAAGACGCAACAGACCAGGTTGCTGCTGTCCCTCCTCGGGCTCTCAGCGGCGACCTGGCCCGTCGGTGGCCTCCTCGAACGGCATTGTGCCGTGCCTGGTGTTTGGTTCTCTTTACCGTACACGGTGCTTCAGTGTCTGTTTTGCCTGAGTACCGTGCACTTTCATTGATTGTCGAAGGCCTGTCCACGCCCATTGTCGTCGGAGTGCATATTATTGTTGAGATTGTCGGAGTATCGTTGGAACAGCATTTTCCTTGGTTATCTCAACTGTCCATCTAGTTATTGCTTGTGATTTGCCTTCTTCTTGTTGAGCGAGTCCACGTTTTGTATATGGAGTTTGTTTCATCTGAATTGTCAGGCGCGGATTTTGTTGCTTCAGATCGGACAGATACGGCGTTGTTTACTTCCGAGTTTCTCGCTTGTTTGTCTGCTCGTTTGTCTACGGTCGAAGTGTGTGTTAGTGATCTATATTGCCGTGTTCGCCCTTCGTACGGAGGTGGGTCTCGCCTGCATGAGCGAGACCAGCTGTATGGGCGTGGTGTCAAAGTTTCTCAACCGAAGTTGCGCCGCCTGCGGGCGAAACGTGTCAGGTATCGTTTGTGGTCCACGGCTCGGGGGCCAGATCCGTCGTGCTTTGTTCGCGCGGGCATTTGCGCGCCCAGATATTATCGGAATTTCTGCTCGGACGATTCTTCTGAGGAAGAGGAGTGGGTTGAGGGCACTTGTGGAACACAGACTGATATGGATGCTGTTGAATTGGCTGGCAACTCTTTGTGTTCGCAGTGTTCCGATTGTGGGACTCAGACAGATCCCTGTGTTCACATTGCGCGTGGGACTCAGACTGATCTTTGTGTTCTCTTTGTTGGTGAGGAGGAGAAGGAGGAGTGTCATCGAGTGCGCGCTGATCAGGGTGATGCTTCTGCAGTTGGGAGTTCCAGTGCAGTCGGGAGTTCCACTGTTCGGAGTGCAGTAGGAAGTTCCACAGTTCGGAGTTCCGCTGATGCAGTTGTTGATGCAGTTGGGAGTTCAACAGCTGGGAGTTCTGCAGTTGGGAGTACCGCGGTTTGGAGTTCAGCTGATGCTGTGGCATCGAACCCTGGCTGCAAGGACGAGGAGGAGGAGAATGTTCATAGTGAAGCAGTTGCTAAGATGGAGCAGGAGGAGGTGGCTGAGGAGGATTTTGTTCATGCATTTTCCCTGGCTTATAGCGATAGTAACGCGAGCACTCGCGTGTACCTGGAGAAGGCGTTAAATCTTCGTATCAGAAAATACAGATTTGTACGGACGACTGCTACGGACGACGTCGTGTCAACGGTGCATGTGCCAGATTTCCTTTCTGAATTTCGAGCTTGCGATGAGGACGAACGGGGCTGTTGGATTTGGGATGCGTTCCAAACCTTCAGGGATCACGATTCAATCGGAGCCGTCTTACAGGACCTTCA